AAGATTGTAAGCGAAAGTTGTGAAAAGTGACAGAAAATGTATTTGTTGTTTAAGTGCCATCACGAGACCTTCAAGCAACCATGAGGAAAAACAATGTTAAACATAATGTCCATGAATGTCTCATAGAATTGATTTGGAAAAGAATTCCCAAACAAGCCACTGTCATTCCCCTGCTGAAGTTTCCTCCTTTAGGTTAATTGTTTTCATTTTTTTTAAATTATTCTGTTATACATCCGTGAAGGATTGCTTCACCAACAACAGGAAACCAATTTGAACAAATATTAAAAAAAAGATTGAAGCCAAAAGTCCAAAATGGCACCACTCTCATTAGAAAAAAAAATTCTAATCTGGCATGATTCTGTAATATTACATTTAAATGGTCTTCCCATAACAGTGAACAAGTAATAATACAGAAACATATTCATGAAGATAAAATCCCTCCACCAGGGTAATTATACAAAACTGCTATGCCATTCAAAACATTTGAAAGAACATTGGAGAAAACAATACTTTGTTATCATCTTAAACACTTACACAGAGTATTTCATTAATGGCATACTTTAACACTGTAAACATATTGTAAGACTGCATGTGTCATTTGTGTGTTATTTGGATCTCTGTCTGGGTTCCACAGTTCATCATTTGGATGTGACATATTTCATAGCTGTATGGCTCATTTTGGCCTCACTCGGAACTGAGTTTTCCTGGAATGAACACACTGTGCATTTACAACAAGATTAAGATTTTTTGCACTCATGCATCAACGTGTATAAGCAAGTTGAATGTAGTTCTTCAGCTCACTTTTCGTGTTTATTCACTAAAATATACTGAACTATATGGTAAATGAATAGCTTACTGTGAGCTTAACATGGTGTCCTTTCTAAAATCACAAAAAAAAGAGGAATTTGCATGGGAAGGGACAGTATATTCTTCTATCCAATAAAACAAAATGGCTCACATAAAGTCTGACAATAGGCAAAAAAAGAAGGTCAAACATTCAAGGGAGGATGATTTTGATGATTGAAAATTGCAGTATTAAAATGAAAGACGTGTTCTCACTCTCCTTTCATGTGGCTTTGCTGTCTCCCTTCCTCTCAGGCTCATCCTGTCTCACTCTGATGGTCCGTTATAAGATGTGGCCACTAGATGTACATTTCGGTACAAAGAAGAAGAAAAAAAGTAAAACACTTTTTCATATGCTTCCAATTTCATTTGAATGACTCTTCTCTCTGGTCAAGGTCTTGCTCTCTCTCCGTTTCATTCTCACATCTCTTCATTTCTCAGTTCCACTCTCTCATTTTTACTATAAGAATAGCCCCTACTCAAGGTCACCTGGCCATCCCCAAGTGCAGCTGTGCTCAAAATTATCATAACTCATATAGCCTTTTTTTCCCCCCCACCAGATTCATTTCAGAATGAACGATGCAGAAAATAAAAACCGTAATCCCAAAAGTCACGAACACGCACACTGTCTCAAAATCTGTTACTGGGAGTTAAACCCGTATCACTTTGTGAGGCGAATGAACAGGCTTCCCCTTTAAAAAAGCTGCCCTAATGTATGAATCTGAGCTAGTGAACTGTGAAAAGATGCCGTCTGAGAGAGGCTTAGAGCACACTGCGGAGAGAAGAACACACGCACTAACACATACTGATATGAATTTCATTTGAAACCATTTTGTGGTTCCTAAGGGGATGCAGGAAGTCAACCCAGGTCAAAAAGAGATGGCATGACAGACATAAGAGAGAGATAGAGAACGATTCAGAAGGTGGTACATTGTTGAAGTAGCTTTCGTTTAACAAATTGCCTCTGAATAAGCACACATGGGGTGGGGGAGTGGGAGAGGTAATCAAGTGGGTCTGATAAAGCAATAATGTATGGTAGTTACACGTAGCCTGTACTGTAGATAATGCAAGCAGCTGGTTGTCTGATTATTTAGTTTTAGGCCATCTTTTATGTTGGGGCTACTTTAACATATTTTTGAAAAATGGATATATTTACAAACCATAAACAGGACTGTTCTCCTTGTCACATTAATCACAAGTAGTCTTAACTTATTCAACATATTAAATATGGTGGTTTAATCCTACACTGGGAATGTACTGAGCATCAGTTAAGGGTACCTCCATTAAGTGCAACCTCTATTTATGTCCTAACTGACTCAAGGACAGCAATACAGTAACTGCATTTTGACATTATTCACAAGCCAATATTTAGACAAATTCCCTGAATAAATTAAAAGTAACTTATCCAGTCTCTAAGGATTTTTAAAATCCACTGTGATGTTTTATTGTCAGACTGACATTCAGTGCTTTAGGCCTGTATGAGGGAATGGATTGTAGTCCGCTGCTACAGTCAATAGAGAAAACAGTTATTTTTACTTTTAAAATCTAACTGCTTCACACAATTTTACTCTCACTTGACAATAAGCTTCCTTAGAGGGAAAAAAAAGAAAATTTGTATTAAGGGTGACTTCTTTCCAGTTATCGCATTTTAGAAAAAAAAATGTTTTTTAGCACATTTCAAAACTAACTCCATATGAAATCCCACAAAGATGTACCTGCACATGCCAAATATCATTACAAAAATCCAATAAATACAGAAATTATTGCACAGTAGAAAGGCTCCATGGATTCCTAACTGATAAAATCCTCAGACAGTTTGCCAAGAAATACCAAGTTGGGCATTCCAGACAAGTTCTCATTAAAGTTTCCATTTGTTTATATTCTCAGGTGGCAGTTTCTGTGACAAGAAAAAAGATGAACATCAATCAGTCTTAATTTTTTTTAAGAGAGAGATTATCCAGCCAAGCCCCTTGGCTGAAGAAGTGGTTGTACGAAATTTGTGTGAGCATGTGTGTGTGTGTGCTTTTGTGTATATGTTCTGGAGAATGTACACTGTAGGCTGTATAACTAATGGTTGCTGGCTTAACCTCTGTCTGCCTGCTCCAGTTTGACCTCACTGGCCATCAAATGTTCACCATGCCATTTCTTCATGTGTTTCTCCAGTGTGCTGTAAACACTGAAGGGCATGTGGCAGATGTCGCAGCGATATACCTCTTTCCCAAATTGCCCATGGGTCTTCATGTGGCGTGTCAACTTAGAGCTCTGGGCACAGGCGTAGCTGCACAGGTCACACTTGTAGGGTCGCTCCCCCGTGTGGCTGCGTCGGTGCACGGTCAGGTTGCTGCAGTTCTTGAACACCTTGCCGCAGTACTCACATGTGTCATTCCTTCTCTCCTTGGAGATCGGGGGCCTGCCGGGTCCTGGTCCCCGCAGGAGGTGAGGAGTGCTGCTGCCACTGCGGCCAGAGGCGCTCCCTCCTTCCATCAGCTCACCAGGTGGGGTGGAGAAACGCAGGCTCCCTGTTTCTGAAGAGGAATGCTCAGAGGAGGTGGCAAATGGTGACTGGCGGGAATCGGAGAAACCCAAGAAGGGTTCTCTGATGAAGTGGCGTGAAGCAGCATAGCCAGCCAGGAGCTGAGAGTAGACATTCTCCGGGGATATAAGGGGTATGGTTGGGGGAAGTTCCAGCTGTTCCTTCTCAATCTTGATCCTCTTGTTGTTGGAGGGGCTTGGGCTGGTAATGGGGGTGGGCCGACGCTGGAACAGCCCAGGGAATGAGTCTGCTTCAGATACACTAATTCTGCCATTCATCACAGGCCTCTGATGCTCCAGCTCATCTCGAGCTCTGTCCTGCTCCCTCTCATTCTCTCTTTCTCTTTCAGCTTCACCCCTCTCCCCACCATCTCCATTAGGTTGTCGTTCCAGGCTTCTTTTATTAGGGTTAAGTCTAAGGTGATTGTCCAGATGGTTGTACGGGTGCATGATACCCACTCCACCACTGTCATTTACTCTATCCCCACTCAGGGCCTTCTCCTCGGGAGACTGTCTAGGGCCATTCTCCCTATTCTGCCTAAACTCCTGGGAGTCCTCACTTAAATTTGAATCTGGCCGACTTCCATTCCTCAGCAGTTCTTCCTCTTCCTCTTCCTCCTCTTCTTCTTCCTCCTCTTCATCCTCCTCCTCCTCCTCATTGTCCATACCTATCCCTCTTGAATCTCCTTCCCGATTCTTTTCTTCACCCTCTCCTCCCTCTCCTCTATTTCCCTGTTCTGGTGAGCCACTCATGGATCCAGACTTGTTATGCATATGTGTCTTCATGTGCCTCTTGAGCTTGCTTGCCTGGGAACATGCATGGTCACATAGATGGCACTTGTACGGCCTCTCACCTGTGTGGCTGCGTCTATGGACAATCAGGTTGCTCTGGAATTTGAAAATCTTGCCACAAAACTCACAGGATTTGGCTTTCCCCGCAGCCTGGTGCTGACCCTGGCTGTCAAGAGGGCTGGAAGAACCATGTCCCCCCTGAGAAGTGGGTGGTTGTGGGGCATAGGCTAGAAATGCTGGGGGCTTGGCACCAGGCTGGAAAAGGGTTGGACTCAGCAGGCGGTGCATGGGTGGCACACGGTTAGGTGAGAGAGGAGGTGTGGGCCCCCCATTATTGGTTGTGTTGCCTGCTAATTCCCTCAGCCGTCGAGAGAAGTCCATGGAGGGAGGCTCCATGGGGGTCATCCGCATCACCCTCTCAAAGGCACTGGGATGCTGGGAGAGCAGCCCCATCTCCTCTGGGCCCAGTCGCTCTAGAGGGGGTCTTGGGGGAGGTGGAGGGCTGACAAAGGGAGGTGTCGCAGGCAGCCGGGTCTCCATATATCCTGGGGGAGGGGGGTGTTCCCTGAGCAGTGGCGCAGCCATGCGGAGAAGGTGGAATGGGTTGTTGGTGTCACCGAGGAAAGTGGGGAGAGGGGAACGGGGCAAGACATCAGCACCTGGAGGTGGAGGCAGAGCCATGCGGGGAGTGAGGGAGCAGTTGGCCAGGTGGTTGTCCAGGTAAATGCGGATGCCGTGAGTGTGCTGGGCATGCTGAAGCAGGAACCAGGCACTGGTGAAGGTCTGCTTACAGGTGGTGCAGATGTAGCTGGATGGCTCATCTTTATCTGTTGGTAAAAGGAAATAAAATCATTAACGTTAAAAAAAAAAACATCCAATAAAATATGCAAATAAAAATATTTTTATTCAACATTTTTGACCAAAATATAACTTTACAGTGCCTGCGTGATTATTATCAACCTCTGTGCACAAGCATGGAATAATGTTTAGGAAAATTAATTGTGTTTAAAATGCACAGTTCTGTATGTGTGTCAATGAGTGTGTTCCATGGGCTTTGTCTGTGTGTGTATGAAATTTTGAGTGTGTCTGTGTGTGTCTACAGGCTAATGCAGATGGCAGGCACTGCCCTAAGGCCACAACACATTATGCTAATTCTAATGTCAGCTAGGGTTTAATATACAGATCCATCTCGTCTACTCTGTCATTTCCATATGGAGAGAGGGGAGGAAGCCATTAAAAAACACACCAATGGGGGGGAGGAAATCTGGGATAGGGGAAGGGAGAAAGGGTGAGGTGTGGCTATAGAAAGAAAAAGAGACCCACAAAAAGAAAGACAGTAGAGGATGGAGCAGACAGTGTGTAAACTATAAAGACCCCTCCGCTCCTAAAACAGCATCCACATTAAATAAAGCTTGTGGTGTAATAACAAGTACAGTAAAGTGATCAGTTGTGGCTGCACATACAGAGACAAACTGTGTCTCACTAATTGACAAATTGCTCCTTTAAATGGTGTGACTTATTAATGCCAAATGAATCTCTCAGTCACTGTGACAAGGCCCTGTCAGCCTGTTTGTGACTCATGAAAAGAACCTGTGTTGGGATACACCTAATTCAACACAGGCTAGCACTGAAGAGGCAATTCCACAGCCTTGTGCCTGCTTGCAAGGCATCTGCATCTATTTTATCATCAGCGGCTACCACAAGTGAAGTTGGTATGGCAGCACCAAAGCTTGGACCCCAGAGGGGGAAAACAAAGATGGAGAAGTTACTCTGGTTCAAAGTCTTATGTGATCAAGAAAGGAGTGCTTAAGATGGCTGACTGCCTCAAAGCCACCCATTGTCATGGAATGTAAAACACATACAGACACTGATACATGCAAAGCAATATTTTCTTTTCTCTTTCCTGCTCTGTCTCCTAAGTCTCTCACAGCACATCCCTGTACACTCACAGATTCACACATACACACACAGACACACACTAGCACCATGTAGAACAGATGAGCAAAAGCTGATGTTGGATCAGTGTCTAGTACAGGAAGCTGATTTGGCGGTGTGATTGGTTTGGCTTTCCCCAGGGGAGAGGGGGTCAGAAAAAGTTAATGAGGGGCTCATTTACTGATTCTGTCTGTTTTTCTCTGCTATTAGTGGGGCTCTGGTGTAGCCGTCACTCACTGTTTGTGTGGGGCGGGACATGACCTGACTCCTGCTGCTAACATGCGTACAAGAGTGTGTGTGGACGTGTTTGTGGATGTGATTTTTGTGCTTGCACGTGTATGTGTCCCTTTGTATTACTTACATTATGGGGACCAAAACCTGTTAACACACTCACATGGTGGGGACTCGGCTGAATTTTAGGGTGGCAACATGGTTTAAGGTTAGGGTTAGGTTAACGTTAGGGTCGGGGTTAGGGTTAGGCAAGTAGTGGCTATGGTTAAAGTTAGGATAAGTCTACAGGAAATGAATGTAAGTCAATGTAAAGTCCCCACAAGGGAGGAAAACACAGTGTGTATGTGTGTGTGTGTGTGTGTGTATGTGTGGGGCGTGTGGTGGGCTGCATGCCTGTGTTTAGTTTGGCTAGGCTTCACACGACCGTTTGGCAGCAGAGAGCTGGACAGCTTAGCAACTTGGACGGGGAGAGAGAGGGAAGGGAAGAGGAGGAGGAGACAGGGTGAGCAGAGAAGTGGAAGGACTTTAATGCATGCACATACACACACACACACACACACACACACAGACAACTAAGTCTATTTGCATGTGGATAGGCACTGAGAGGGGTCTCTAGATTTGGGAGCTGTATAACCTTATCATGAGGATCAATGGGCCCTTTTCATATGATGTCACACAATGGCAATTGTTCCTCCAATTGGTAGATCCCCACTTCCGCTGGTCAGCGTAATCATTGAGTTCGTACAGTCTAAAGGAGCTGCCACAAACATTAATGGATGATGTTTAACAGATTGTGGATATTTTTTCACTGTGTTACTGGTTCAGGCCTCCCCTTTAAGTGCTTATTGTCAATGTGATTGTGACATGGGAAGTAGTGCTATTTATTTTGGGGAAGCAGCCAGTGCAGTAATGTACATGCTACTAAGGGTGGGAAAAAGTTACAGTAGTTGGCTAAAAAACATCTACATAAGCTTGCAGTGCTATATACAAAGCCTAAGAGGACAAATATTATGTTTGCTGAGACTAGGCAGAATAAAGTCCCTGTTTGAGCAAAGTTATCTCAGTCTCCCTGTTTTCTTCACGACCACCAAGGCCCGGGCTGCTAAGGCTAGCTAACATAAAGCTAGTATAAACACCAGAGGACTTCCAGCTTCAATTCAGAGCTGCAGATCTGCAAAGGTAACAACTGACATCTCAGTCCAAACTTGACAAAGCTGTAACTTTTTACTGGATGCTACCCATTTGATTTTGAAGGTTTCTAGGGTATAATTTTCAAAATATTCTAGTTTATGCTAACACTAGCTTTGCAGTAAAGCAAATAAGATGCTAGTGTCCTTTACCAATGTTAACATTTTATATATCAGAGTTTAAACAATGTAACTGTGACTAACATACCAGTTAATGTGTTTGTAGGCTGATTGTCAAGCTTGAATATGTTTTACAACTGCGATTGGTGAGCTGATAACATTGGTGGTGGTGTTCTGCCCATGGAACTTGCCTTCTTAGTTCTTTCTGGACAGGGTGTATTTTTTTTAGCTATGAAAATACAGCTCCCCCATCCTCTCACTAAATGACACTGTATATATTTTAAAAAGTTGATTAAATTTTTAACACATTGGTATAATTTACAGGCTAATATTTTGATTCGACATTACTTCTCCATGGCTCCATAACTGCTAGTGTCGCTATCAGAGAACTTAATTCACCAGTGATATGTGGCAGTAACAAAAAATAAATTAATATTATTGTGAACAAATGTAATTTACAGATTTACAATGTCATACTGTAAATATTATTCTAGTGGGTACGGCCATTGCCTTTTCTTTTTTTTTAACAATCTCAAGGAAATGTTGGACTGAAGCTTTGTCCCAGTGCAGGCCTGAACTGAAAACAACAATACACCCTCACCCCGGAATCTTCATGTTAGCTGACCTCACTGTGAAAAGGGCCCATATAGGGAGAAGGACTGATGGTCTCACTTGAGCCGTCTCCTTTTTGTTTATTTAATCCAGATTTTGGTCTACCGCCATTGTCTCATTAGTACAAGCTAACCAATAATATATCGCCACCCCACCAACACATTTGCATCTTGTCATATCTTGCACCATTTTGCCATATGCTGTTAAAGGAAGCATGGCAATAGAGTGGCAGCTGATGGCTCCTGCCTAATGACAGCCAAAGACAAATTTCATCAACTTCCCAAACATGCAAGCAAGTGGGGGGAAGCCAGAAAAAAAGGAGAGAGCAAAAGAAAAGAGTCAGTAAAAGCAACTAAGAGAATCAATGAATGATTCAGGATGTTGATGATAATACGGGAGTGCCTTATGCTGCAGTTCCTCTAACGACTGCTATGTGAAGGTTCTCAGAAAAAAACAGTATGTGCTTTGCACAAGATGTTTAATTTCTTCTAATGTGCATGTTTGAAATCTAACAATACATTAAAAAGACATGAAAACCTCAAGAAGGGTGTCTCTGCAGTCATGTCTACTTGATTGACAGTTCTCTCAGGCTATCACACTCAGCTGCAAAACCTCCTTTTAGAAACATATGTGGAACATCACAGATATCACCTCCGTGTTTCTTTCTGACACAAATGCACATCCTAAATCACAGACATCTTCACACCACTCTTCCCTCTCACACACTTGCACACATGCTGCGAGAGTGTGGATGTTGTCGCTGCTCAGTGCTCCAGCCAATAAAAGCCTTCATTATAGAATCACGATGGGCTGTGTCATGCTTCAGTTTGTGGTAATTACAGTCGTCTGCTTGACACGCAGGCAGAGACCCCTCCATCACTGCCTGAATGCCAAGGTCAACTACCAGTTAAAATAGTTACATTCTCTTCTCCATGCACTGACTGATACTGGACCTAATTGCCCACTTTACTCTAGCACACCATACAGTATGCACACACATACGCTATTCGGCGAATGTGACTGAGACAAGAGGTTAAATGAAATGGAGTCACAGCAGGATTCTATAAAGTAGTGCCACATTATATATATTGTCATTTTGCTAGCAGTACCACAACTAGTAAAAGTGATGGGATTCACCTCGAAAACGGTATGTGTTATATCCCTTCCCGCGTGTCTAACCATGCACACTTTTCACAATACAGACTTGAGACCTGCTTTGGAGGGCAGCTCTTTGTCCTGTGTAACAACATGAATACTAAGGGCCAGGAGGCCTGGAGGAAGTTATTAAAACACTGGCACATGCGTGGAGCTTAGGTGGGCCAGTAATAATGCCCTTTGTATCTCCTGGGTTGGTTTTTTACTAAACCACCAGGCCAATTAACCCAGTCTTCAGGGACTAAGATCTGAGCTTTACATCAGAGTTTATTCTTTCCAGATTGCCTTTTATAGACATTGTTTTGCCTTAAAAAGTACAAGCCAGCGAATGAAGGGGATCCATGTTATTGACTGTTTGCATATGACCAGAAAAATTGGTGTGGGTTAAAGTAGACACCAGGCATATGGTCCAGACATGTGGATTTGTGTTTAATTTAGGAACTCACATATGCAATCCCTGCAGCCTGAGCCTGATTTATATTTTCGAACCGTGAGCTTCTGCCATTTACATTACACTCAGTTTTTATCAGATGTTCTAATCTGGAGGAGCTTATAGTAAAACCACAGAAGAATAGCAAAAATCCATG